CTCTCACTGTCCACTCTGCCTGTCAAAAAATTAATTAATTAATTAAAAAAAAAAAAAGAATCTGAGGGATGGGGGCTGGTGCTGTGGCGTAGCAGGTAACGCTGCTGCCTGCAGTGCCGGCATACTATATGGGCACCGCTTAGAGTCCTGGCTTCTCCACTTCCAATTGAGCTCTCTGCTATGGCCTGCGAGAGCAGTACAAGATGGCCCAAATCCATGGGCCCCTGCACCTGCATGGGAGACCCGGAGATGGCTCCTGGCTCCTGGCTTCAGATCAGCACAGCTCTAGCCATTGCGGCCAATTGGGGAGTGAACCAGTGGTTGGAAGACCTCTCTCTCTGCCTCTCCTCTCTCTGTATAACTCTGCTTTTCAAATAAATAAATAAATCTTAAAAAAAAAAAAAGAATATGAGGGGTGGGCATTTGGTCTAGAAGTTAAGATACCTGTGTCCTACATTGGAGCACCAGGGGTTGATGCCCAGCTCTGGCTCCTGACTCCAGTTTCATTTAAGTTCAGACCTGGGGAGGCAGCAGTGATGCCTAAGTAGCTGGGTTCCTGTCACTCAAGTAAGAGATCCACACTACATCCCAGGTTACTGACTTCAGCTACCAGGCCTTGATCATTATGGGCACTTGGAGAATAAATCAGTAGATGGCAGTGTTCTCTCTCTACTCCTCAGATAAACACATTGTAAAAAAGGACGTATTTAGTTATGTGAAGAGCAGAATTACAGAGAGAGAGAGAGAGAGAAAGAGAAATCTTCCATCCACTGATTCATTCCCCAAATGGCCCTGGCTGGGCCAGTCTGAACCAGGAGCCAGGAGCTTCTTCTGGGTTTCCCATGTGGGTGCCCAAGTACTTGGGCCATCTCCCACTGCTTTCCCAGGCCATAAGCAGAGAGCTGGATGAGAAGGGTAGCAGCTGGGACTCGAACCGGCGCCCATATGGGATGCCAGTGCTGCACATGGCAGCTCCACTGCTTTGAAACAGCGCCCACCACCAGGTAAATACATTTTTTAAAAAAGGAATCTATCCAAGACTGAGTGTCTGGGGATGGAAAAGTTAAGTGAGGGCAACAGAGAAACCAGATGGTTTCCAAATATCAGAAATCAATGGACTGGGGCCAGCGCTGGGGTACAGCAGGTTAATGTCCCGGCCTGCAGTGCCAGTATCCTATATGGGCACCAGTTTGAGTCACAGCTGTTCCACTTTCTATCCAGCTCTCTGCTAATGTGTCTAGGAAAGCAGCAGAGGATGGCCCAAGTGCTTGTGCCCCTGCATGCACTTAGGAGATCTGGAAAAAGACCCTGGCTTCCAGCTTCGGATCTGCCCATCTCCTGATGTTGTAGCCATCTGGGGAGTGAACCACCAGGTAGAAGACCTCTCTCTCTGTGTCTCTACCTCTCTCTGTAACTCTTTTATTATTTGTTATTATTAAATCATTAAATTATTACTTATTATTAAATTATTAATTATTTGAATAAAGAAAAATTAAAAAAAATCAATGGACTAATGATAGAAAGGCCTTTAAAAGTTATCTAGTTCTACCTCTTTAGTATTCAGATAAAAGTACTAAAACCCAAAGACTAAATAGCATTTCTCAAATCACAGAGCCCATATTAGCCAAGTCTCATAGTAAAAAGGTATAAAAATGTACAAAATGTCATAGTTCTTTAATCTGCATCTTTGACTTCATGTCATTTATTTATACCAAATCATTTTACATATATATGTATATATACACATATATACATACACAATTTCATATGCATTGTATAGATAAGCTATTATATATAATACAATTATATATACACTTTATATATAGTAGCTTTTGCTATAATATTATCTTTAAAATCCCACTTTTATATGGCTATAGTCAATTTTAAGTTTGAAAGTACATTCCAAAAGCAAATATAAATACTTTTATTTTTTACTTTATGCTATCTTCAGCTTTACTGTTTTCCATTGTTACAAATGTTATACAGTTTATTATAAGCAAAAAATGTCATTAATCTGTTTAGGCTGTACAACACTGGTGCCAAAATTAAAGGAATGACTATTCACATAACAAATACTGTTTACATACCCTAAATTATTAGTTAACTAACAGATAATTTGCTTTAGGCATGCCTTAAGAGTCTAAGAATTAAGGAGTTTTTCCTTTTTAAAAATTCAATTAAACTGAGATGTTTTGGGAGATTTTTGTATATCAGAAAATTAAATTGAGAACCAAGAAGGCAAGGTACCTGTTAAATAAAACACTGAAGTGCCTATACAGAAAAGCAACAGATTTTTTTTTTTTGCTTCTCAATCAAAATATTGTATTATTTTGACTGTTCTACAGTCTATAAACTATATTGGTAAAAATTTATTCTGCTTCAAATGCCAAAATTTTATAAACCTCTCAAATTCAGTAAATAACTCAAATTTAATCAAATTTCCATGGATAAAATAGAGATTTCTGCAGAAGAGTGGGGACTTGGCTTTTATGACTGTTGTGATTATCCAGCTGCCTGTAGGAGGGAGGTCAACTGTTTTCTACAAGGATATGAAAAGGCTGTTGACCATTCATGCCTCTCTTTAATATACCCAACATTCAGAATTTCCTGTAGGACAGATCCACATACTTAGCAAGAATTGGCTTGACTTGAACCTTACTTTCCAATATTAGGGACACATGCCACCACATGATAGAAATGTGAACTTGAAAGGAACAACTCCCTTAATCTTTCCCTCACACTTGAGGGAAAATTGGACTTCAAAGAACAATATGAGTTTTTATGGATACATGCATGTAATGAAATAGGAAAAAATGTTTTCAGTAGTTGTCTTTGGGAAGGGAAATAGAATTAAGGTATGCATGTAATATTTACTTTATATTGCTCAGATTTTTACAAGAAGACTTTGTAATGCAATCTTAAATGCATTTTTTAAAAAAGAATATGTAATTATTAAAACTTTCAAGAAAACAAAAGCTTTCTTTGTTAATAATATGTTCCGTAGATTCATTCTGGTGTTTTGATTTTAAGTAGCTTAATTCCACCCACTATAATTTAAGGTCATTTGTTGTTCTTGTGTTTTTCAAAGATGAAACACTGCTAAGAATCGTCTACAGCAATGGTTTTAAGTTCTAAGCCAAAAATCTTTCATCAAATGAAACCCTATACTTAAATCCAACAAATGGACAGATAATGGCAGAGCTGTAGCACCTTTTGCACACAATTTCTATACATAGACTTTCCCATACATAGTTGTTAAGCCAGCTTTTTCTTTTCAGGTTATCTGACTCATTTAGACATTTAAATTTCTTTCAGTCTTTCAGTACTATTTCAGATGAAATAAAGAAATCATCAATGTATAAATGTCCTTAAGCTCTGGATCAAGTAAAACATGTAAACTACTAGCAACTCAATTACTGCTGAATGATCTCTGCAGGGGGGAAGCCTGGTTATTCTAGGGACTTACTGCCTGTGGAATGGACAGGCCTGACAGCAGATGGAAGACATCTCTCTCTATCTCCCCTGCCCCTAACTCTGCTTTTCAAATAAAGAAATAAATCTTAAAACAAAAAATTGTGAGAAATAAGTTTCTGTTATTTATAAGCTCCTTAGTTGTGGTTTGGTTACATCAGCAGGTGTGTACTAAAGTATTGCTGGGGTCTCTGTGTGTTTTATCTACATACATTAAAGAGTGTCACTGTGACTTTTTATTAAATACTCTATACTGTTATATTAATAACAATCTCCTATTTTTTATCTAGAACCATTTTTGTATTGAGAATAGAGTCTCACACAGTATTGTTATGTAGACTGTGTCCAGCTTCTGAATTTTACCAACTCTGATTTAAAATAAATTTTCCCAAAAGGAGCCCTATCCAGAAGTGAAGAATTCATTTCAGATGGCAGTCACTGTCCTTGACAGTCACTAAAATGATTCAAAATGCTTCTCTGTGAATGAACTTGTGTGAAAGTGTGAAGTGTGTCAACCCCATGTGGCCAGGTTACCAAAGAAAACAACCGCTATCATATTTGGTTAAACTGGTCACTTGATTGACTCATGAAGTGAAAATACTCCATAATGAGATATGAAGGAAAGGAAATTGTCCCGAGAAGGAACTCAACACTTGTTTCTCTCCTCTATACTCTCCAAGGGGAAAATGCATTTATAAAAAATTTAAAGTGTTAATTTTTTTAGATCTACTAAAGTCAGAATCTCTAGAAACGGAATCTCTCCAAGAGTGGCTGACACGACTTCCTGCCCACCCCAAGCCATGTGTTCAGGTCTCTGCCACTAGGTCCCTCCCCAGTCTAAGGGTAAGTCACCACTGGTGTGGATCGAATCCACTGCACTCTGAAATCCCGCGTGGCAGAAACTCTTTAATTCACATCTGTATTCCCTGTCCTCACACCTTCTAGGCACAGAGAAGACACACAAGTATTTGCTGAGTTGAAGCGTTTCAGTCACACTTCAGTGCGAGAAACGAGAGCGCTGTGCGACAGCAGTCACACTAAGCGGAAGCCCCTAGGCGGCTGGGCTGGGGGAAGGGGTTCAGTCTCCGCGAAAGCAGGCTGCCTGGAAAAGGCGTCTGCTCTGCGTCGCCCCGCTGACGGGCAGAGGGCGGCTTCGTTAGTCTTTGGGGCGACACATCACACCAGCATCCAGGGTGAGACAACAAGCTGACGCTTGGTAAGTGGAAAAGCCACAGCCGCAAGGAGCGCTCTGAGCCCGGGTTCCAGGCTCTCCAGTCACCAGGGTCTCCTGGTTATCAGCACCACCAGGGTGACTGATACCTTAGTCACAAAAGCAACACCTCTGGTTGATTAGAGAACAAAAACAAGCGGGAAAACCCCCCACCCGCCAACAGCAAGCTACAGTACACCCACACACCACAGTACACGCACGCACGCCAGGGGTAAACAACCTCGTTCCGCAAGGCCTGCACGGTCCCCGCCGCGGGCGCCGAGTCTGCTCCCCTCAGGGGGTCCCCGCGCCCACTCACCTGGCGTCCCGGCGCTGGCGGCGCGCTCCGCCCTGCCGCTCAGGACAGGCTAACGGGGCTGCCCGCGTCGCCCCCGGCCGAGCCCAGCCTGCGGCTACTGCCGATTACTGCGCGGGCCGGGAAGCGGCAGCCGCGCTCGCCCCGCACTCGCGCCGGGCGGTCTCGCATGTGGCAGGTCCGGGCCGGCGGCGCCCAGAGACTCCAGAGCGAGCCTGGGCGCGTCCTCCGCGGGGTCGGGAGGCCGCTGTGGGTTACCCGGGGCTGCTGCCGCCAGAGCCCCCACAGGCCCACTGCCCCGGGCGCCGGAGCCGCCCAGTGCTGCCGTTCACTGGGCGGCTGCCCGGGTCCCTGGCGGCAGGACCAGCGCGTTCCCCCGGGGAAGCGCAGCGAAAGGCGCTCATCCAGGGCGGGCGGCCCTAGGCGCCAGGGCTCCCGGGTGATGACGAGACCCTGCGTGAGGCGCGCAGCGATGCCGGCCGCAGCCAATGGCTTGCTTTGCCGGTCCCTAAACCAATTAATGAAGTCTGTGGGTCCAGAATTTATTAAATAAACTAAATGGCAACACCAAGGACTCGTTCTTTCCTCCCTTCTCGCCCTTGCTGTGTTGGTTTATATTTTAACCCTTCCAGCAAGAGTGTGATTGTTCATTTCATCCCCCTTCCTTCTTCCTTTCCTTCTTTCCTCTGCACTTTCCCCCTTCAGCTGAGTGTGTTTTGTGTGTTTTGTGAGTCTGAGTGCGAGCGCTGCTTACCTGGTTTTCACTCCTTATCTCAAGTGCCAGTTTCCATCCCCGCGAGTCCGGCAGGAGGGACTAACCCCAAGTAAATGTCTGCACAAGTCAGGAACAACTCACCCCCGGCTCTCCTCCCTCGTGACAAACCTAGGTTCCATCCAGGATCCTTCTTGAGGGCCTGTAAGATGATTATTTTCCTTAAGTGAATTCTTCCCTCCCGAAGCTTTCAAAAACTGCCGGGGATCTCCAGCTTCCTCTTACCACAGAAGAGAAATATATTTTTCCTTTTCCCCCAGTCATACGATCTTCATTCATACATCACCTGCTATGATGAACATGACTTTGGAGAACAGTGGCTTTTTTTGTTTCTATTGTTTGTGATGTTTTGTAGTTTATGGTTAGGGGAGAGAAGAGCATTTGTTCTTGTTAGAATCTGTTGAGGAATTCACTGTGTTTTTTGGGAATTCATTTGTTCATAGCGCTACATACACCCATCTCTGCTCACAGCAGGCAGCATTTTATGTCATTCTTACAAGCTCCTGTTCTGTTCATTCATTAGCTGAGAAGTTACAGGGGCCGGAGTTGTGCCATAGCTGGTAAAGCCATGGCTGCCTCCCTGATTCAAGTCCTGGATGCTCCAGTTTTGATCCGGATGCTTGCTAATGTGCCTGGAAAAGCAGAGGAAGGTGGCCCTGCACCCACACGGGAGACCTGGAGGAGGCTTCTGGCTGCTACCTTCCTCTGGCACAACAGCCCTGGCTGTTGTTGCCATTTGGGGAGTGAACCATTGAAGATCTCTTCCTCTCTCCTCATAACTGTGCCTTTCAAATAAATAAATTAAATCTTTTTTTTTAAAAAGTTTTTATTTATCTTCACTTGATTTGAAGGACAGAAAAAGAGCAAGAGAGAGAGAGAGAGACCTCTCCTGGTTCATTCATTCCAAATACCTGCAACAACCAGGGCTGGGCCAGGCCAAAGCCAGGAACTTGGAACTCAATCTGGGTCTCCGTCGTGTGCATTAGCAGGAAACTGGAATCCGGAGCAGAGCCAGGACTACAACTCAGTTACTCTGATACAGGATATGGGTGTCTCAAGTAGCATCTTAGACACTGCCAAATGCCTCTTCCCACTTGGTCTTTTATTATCATTTGTTTGTTTGTTTGTTTGAAAGGCAGAGAGACAGAGAGAGATCCTCCATCTACTAGTTTACTCCCCTAACGGTTGCAATGCCAGGTCTGAGCCTGGAACTCCATCAGGGTCTCCTACGTGGGTGGCAGGGGCCCAGGCACTTGAGCCAGCCCTGCTGCTTCCCAGGGAAGCTGGATCAGAGGCAGGGAGCTGGATCAGAAGCAGAGCAGCTGGGACTAGAACCAGTGCTCCAATATGGACTCGCAGTGTTGCAGGCTGCAGCCTAAACAGCTTTGCCACAACATTGGGCCTTCCTCATTGGCTTTCATCTTCTGAGATAGCAACCAACACAAAACAAATATAAAATTAAAAGGTAAAATCTTCTTCCTAACAGTATTATGGAATTATCAACCATAAATTGAAACATCTTCTTGAAAATTTTAATTTCATTTATCTCTTTTTTTTTTTGATTCATGTGTATTTATTTATTCAGAGACAAATTCCAAATTTCATGTACTCTTCTTTGTTTCCCTGGAATTTTTAAGATTTTTTAAAACATTTATTTGAAAGGTAGAAAGAGAGACAGAGATACCTTCCATCTGTTGGTTAACTCCCCAAATGGCTCAGATGGTTGAAGCCAGGTTAGGCTGAAGCCAGAGGCCAAGAACTCCATCCGGTTTCCCACGTGTATAGCAGATGCCCAAGTACTTGGGCCATCTTCCACTGCCTTCCCAGGTGCGTCAGCAGGGATGCTGGATCAGAAGTGGAGTGAGACTCGAACTGTTGCTCTAATACAGGATGCCAGAATTGCAGGCAGTAGTTAAACCCATTATACCACAATGTAGGCCCCTGGAATTTGGTTAAGAAATCTGTACCTACCTTAAAAAAAATCTTCAAGCTTCCAATATTGTCAGTTAATTAAGTATCAATGTGTTGATTTCATTGCTTATTTTAATAAATATTCTTTAGTTATATTAAGAAAATAGTACTCAATTAATAAGTGATGACAGGGGCCGGCGCTGTGGCACAGCGGGTTAAAGCCCTGGCCTGAAGTGTCTGCATCCCATACGGGTGCCGGTTCTAGACCGGCTGCTCCTCTTCTGATCCAGCTCTCTGCTATGGCCTGGGAAAGCAGTAGAAGATGGCCCAAGTCCTTGGGCCCCTGAACCCATGTGGGAGACCTGGAAGAAGCTCCTGGCTCCTGGCTTTGGATCAGTGTAGCTCTGGCCAATGCGGCCATCTGAGGAGTGAACCAGTGGATGGAAGACATCTCTCTCTGTCTCTACCTCTCTCTGTAACTCTTTCAAATGAATAAAATAAATCTTAAAAAAAGTGACGATATTCATTAAGTGTAAGAACTAGATTATTTTTATTTTGTATAAAGGTCAAACAACATATCTGAAATCTAAATTTATATAATTTATTCTAAGTTATTGAGACCAAACTCCTTCCTGCCTTTAGTGTTGATTTATGATAATATAAAATTCTTAAGTTAGTATCCACACATAGCAGCATTATACAATGCAGCATTATACAAAAATACTTGAATACTGGAAAATGAAAAAATAGAAATTACTTTTTCCTTAGAAAATTTTTATTTTGGAGTGGGGTGGGTATTTGGCCTTACTATTAAGATGTTGGTGTCCATATCAGAGTTCCTGGTTTCAGTTTTCTGGTCATGCAGACTCGGGCAGATAGCAGTGACAGCTCAAGTAATTGGGCTGCTACCTACATGAGAGTCCTGGATTGAGTTCCTGGCTTTCTTTTGGCCCAGCTGTGGCCATGGGGGAAGGGGGGAACTGAACCAGCAGAGAGGAGTTCTGTTTCTGTCTCAATAATAATTTTTAAAAATTTCTTTTCTTCATATTCATTTATATGTGGCTATGAACTGATCTTTAAAAATCTTGTTGATCTTGAGAGGCAGAGAGAGAGAACACTATCACCCACTGTTTCAATCCCCAAATACCTGCTATGGCTAGGGGAGCTAAAGCCAGGAGTTAGGAACTCAATCCAGCTCTCCCATGTGGGTGGGAGGGACCCAAGTATGTAAGGCATCACAGCTGTCTCCTAGAGTCCAAATTACAGACAACTGGAATCAGGAACCACAGCTGGGGATTGTGCCCAGGAACTCTGTTGTGGAACACAAGGCAGCGTAGCAGGTGTCTTAACTGCTAGGTCAGATACCTGCCTCTGATTGAATGTTTATAATTACCCTAAATTCATAAGCCCGCCAAGATGACGATATTTGGGAGGTGGAGCCAATGGGAGGTGATTGCGTCATAAGAGTGGACACCTCATGGACAGGGTAAGAAGACAGGAGGGAGTTGCCTTCCCTATGTGAGGACAGGACCAGACGATCAGCTGCAAACCAGGATGTGGGCCCTCACCAGACACTGGCTCTGCTGGCACCTTGATCTTGCACTTCCAGCCTCCAGACTGTGAGATGTGTTTGTTTAAGACACCCAGCCAATGGTAACTTCTTACAGCAGTCTGAACTAAGGTGCTCACAAATAAAAGTTCGTCTTAAAAACTATTTTCTTACAATGACTTCAATATTTTTTATTTCCTCAGTTTACAATGATTTCAGAAAAGATTAGAAAGAGATTAATATATTCAGAGAATCAGACCCAGTAACAGTTATTAAAAAGAGCTTATTTTGATTAAAATGTCATTAATTGCTGATCTGTGGCTTCTCTTCATAAGCAGTTGGCTGTGCACAGGAAGGGCCCGCCTTCCCTGCAGGGCCCTGAAATCACAGACTCCAGCCTCCGTCGATGACCACGGGGTTACCTGTGATGTAGGCAGACTGCAGTGACAAACACAAGAAGACACAAGGTTAACCAAGGTTGACACAGCCTGTTTCTTCAGTTTTTCTATGACTGGGAAAACTCAACAATTTACTCTTAAGCTAACAAGATGAATTTATGAAAATCCAAATTAAATTTCAGATGATTTAGAACTGAGCATTCCTGTGATCCAGAGCTAAGTGGCTTCTGGCTGGCATCTGAGCACATGACACACGCTAAGCAGGGTTGGCTGGGTGTTTGGTCTCAGAATCACAAAATTAAGGACTAATGATATACAGCCATCAACAATTTAGGATCAAGTGCAGGCTGAAACACCATATTTTTATTTTAAACAGAACTACTGAAAACTAGTTGAGTTTTATGTCATAAATAAATTTCTGAATGTAAGTGTGTCAGTCATAAAGCAGTCATATAATAGCCAAACAGTTTTTAAAAATCTCACAAATATCATATATGTTCTTGACCAATACATATAAGTAATTTCAGGGGCAGAGGTGTACTAAGTGTGTTTTTAATACTTATATGAATAATAATTACTATAAACTACAATATCATGAAAATATTATTCCATTCTAGTTTGACATCTACATCTGTATAAAACAAAGGATTGTAAAATAATTATTGTTTGTCCTCACAAAAGTTTTCATTTTCCAAAGAATTAGAGTTGAGATGATCCTTGAGGTAGAAGTTTAAAACATTTTTAACTTAAAATGGATAATTTGTATTCTTGGTTTTAAATTCACCCAAAGCCTGAAACAATGGAAGCAGAAAGAAGGAAAG